ATCCATGGGCACCTGGGCCATTTGCACCTGGGCCATGATGCTTGAACTTAGATGGGCTCCCAATTTAGTCTGCAGCAGAAAAGGCAAGTTGTCAAGTTTGGTGTTGATTATATGTGATGGGAACTGGGCATGTAAAAGCAAATGAGTTGTGTTCAGCTGATGTCATATAATAGCTAAGGCCCTCCTGGCCTTCCCTTGCTGCTGGCTCGGTCTAAGTAGAAAAACAATAAGGATGTGAAAGGAGACAATTCAAGGACCATCTCAAGTACAGCTTCTGATAATTGTTGTCCTTACTTTTTCTCCAGTGTACTCCATTAGACTTCCTGGAAGAGAGTCTCGTTCCCGAGAGCCATTTCATCACAGCTTAGACCAGTTAGTGGATGAGATCACAGATGTACTGTTGCCATTGCTGCGTGAGAAGCGATTCGCATTTTTTGGCCACAGGTACAGATATGCATTTTACTATCTAAAGACTCCATGTCTGCATGGGCAAAGCACCGGTTCACTTTAAGTAGGTACAAAGTGCAATTAGCACTTTAAGTAGGTGTTCCTTTAGGTTTGTGCTAGGGATGTCCAGATACCAGTTCAGATCCCAGTGCCGATACTTGTCATTTTCACGAGAACTACCAGGGTTGCAGCTGGGACCTGGCTCCCTCACTCCACCACTGTCCTGAAATCATTAGTCTGTATTGTTTTAGAAAAACTGTCACATGACACTAAACACAAATGTATCAGTACTTGTATCTGTGAGGACTTGGACAGGTATCAGTACTTGTACTTGGAAAAATGGCTCCGTGTGCTCCTTACTTTTGAATTTTTCTCTAGTCTAATCTTAAAACTGGAAAAGTATCTGTACTTGTACTTGTACCGAGTACCGTACTTGGTATCTGAACATCCCTAGTTTGTGCATTTAATTTAGCGTGTGTGTGTGTATACTCCTTGTGTAGACAATGAAAGGCATTGAGACTGCCTTTGGGTACAGCCATCTTGGATGTGGATGTGATACCATTAGACTCAGAGCTGTCACTCAGATGAAACCCTATAGCATTCCCCTTTCATGGCAGCTACATCACAGTTTATGTAGAGAAGGATGTGGGGAGTGGTAGAGGAACTGGGCCATCACAGAGCATAATTAGACATTACCATGAGAGGGGAAGGCTATGTTGTGCAAGGAAGGCTGGTGGTGGGCGAAGGGGGGTGAAGGGCTGTACTAAGGTTCTTCCTGGCTTTTCTTACAAATTCAGAGGTACATTGCAAGTGAATAAAACAAAATGTAGGAAGGAAAAACTGCAAGTAAGCATTTATTTATCTTGCATTTTCAGTGCTTTTTCCTGCAACTTGTTTAAAGTTATTGACAGGGTCTCTTTAAAGCAAACCTGTGCTATGCTTAGTAACATCAATATAGCTTTGCTGGACTGCTGGCACCTGAAGCTGCATACACCTACCTTTCGTAGGCTACATCACACTCCAGTACGCCACCAAGTCTTCCGGAATTTCCTGTACAAGTTTTGACTTTCTGTAGGAACCGGTACAGGTCTCACCAGGCTACCTCTTGCACCCATATATAATAGCACTCAGACCTGTAGATTGGCTTCTCAAACATTGTGCTGCGTTATGGGCAGGCAGGAGGAGTCTTGCTTCTTTCCCCATACTTGGAAGTACTGGCTATTTTCCAGGGTGATGGGTTAGAGCGGGAGAGACGAGTGGAGACTGCTTTTGGTGTCTCTTATAAAGTGAACCTGTTACTTTTCCAAGTATTCCTTTAGGGCCTTTGTCAAAGGACTTTTGCTTTAAGTGGGTTTGCATTGCAGTACACGTCTATGTGAATGCAAAACTCGATTAGCAGGTCAAATGCAACTGTCAATGAATTATAAATGATCTCAATAGTGTGCGCCTGTGTAAAAAGTGACTTTACTTTCTCCAGTTAAATTTAGAAAAGGATAGGAGTGGCAAGAGTCACTTTCAAAACCAAATCCAGACAACAAATAAATTCAGAGCCAAAGGAAATCTCACTGCTCCAATTCCTTAGCCACCATCAGGACTCCCCAGGTGCTGGTCCAATAGGTGCGTCTCCACCTTGGAATGCAGCAGTATACCAACAGACCACACTACCCAGAGAATTCCAATACTGCAGACTTTATTGAAATTCACAGCAAATCCATTATATCAGTGAATAAAAGTGTATAAAGCTACAAATGCCAGCACTGCACACCCCCAACGAACTACAACATCTCACATGTTTCACCCGCAGGCTTATTCATAGAGGTGAATAAGCCTGCATAGAGGTGAATAAGCCTGCAGGTGAAACATGTGAGAGGTTGTAGCTGGTTGGGGGTGTGCAGTGCTGGCATTTGTTGCTTAATGCACTTGTATTCACTGATATACTGGATTTGCTGTGAATTTCAATAAAGTCTGCAGTATTGGAATTCTCTGGATTGTGCGGTCTGTTCGTATACTGCAACAAATACATTCAATTTGGGATCTGGTAATGGTCTTCAGGAAGCTGAAGGAAGGATCATTCTCATAAATCCAATCAATGATAGCAACCTAATGTCTTACAGTAATGAATTTAGCTCATGCCAATATGTATAAAAATAGCTGCGAGCACTTAAAAGAACCACCAGAGTGTTTTCCTTTACCAATACACAATGTTAAATGTGCTACGCTTAAGCGAGGCCCATTGAACCTAAAGTCTTACCCCTTTCAATACTGACATGTTTGTTCATCTGCAAAAATGATTGTAAAAAATAAGATCACTTTGGAGTGTCCACTTTGCACAAAGGGGTCATTTGGGGGGGTTTTGTATTTCCTCTTTTTTTATTTTTTTTATTTGTTGGTCAGTTGGGGTACGGTGTTGCATGCCTGAGTAATTGTCAGTGAAACTATCACAGGGCTGAAACTGAACAATGGTCTGATTATGAATGGGCATAAACAGGCTGGGGTTGAAGAGGCTGTGTCAACAAGCTTTGGGCTTGTGTCGACGGTATCAGTTTCTCATCCGTAAGATCATGCAGAATGAATTAATGGGTGCACATGACCTGCATTTGACTTGCTTCAAGCGAATTTTGCATTCCTATACAGCTGAGTGCAATACCTACTTGATGTATCAAAGCCCATTGACCTAGGTCAGGGGTAGGCAACCTTGGCTCTCCAGCTGTGCTGAAACTACAAATTCCATCATGCTTCTGCCTCTGGGAGTCGTGCCTGTGGCTTGCAATGTCTTATGGGATTTGTAGTGTCAGCACAGCTGGAGAGCCGATGTTGCCTACCCCTGACCTAGGTCCTTAGTTGGGTGACAAGAGGAATGACATTGGTCAACTCATGCCATGAGCTAACTTGGTAAAGTGCTTCATGCTCCAGTAAACATTTGTTCTTTTATCCTTAGTTTTGGGTCATTGAGCAGTTTTGCCACAGCAGCGAGACTGAAGGAGAAGCATGGACTGGAGCCCATTCATCTGTTTGTGTCCGGAGCCTCCGCCCCTCATGTGAGTCCGATATATATTATCTAAGATGCATCTATGGAAAAATGTAGTGGTGCCCATCATAAATGTAGTGGTGCCCATCATAACCAATCAGATCACAGTTGGTACATCTTAGAAAATAAAGACAGCTATCTACATGCAATGCCGCTGTATTTTCATGATCAAGTCGAATACAGTTGACTTGGTTGCTTTTAAAAATACACAGCAATTTTTCAAAAACATATACCTGCATGAAAGATGTATTTTTTGTTATTTGCTTAGAGTTCAACTTTACTCCAGTCTTTTTTTTCACACTTCGTTGTAGTCGCCATTCCGCTACCCATCTCAAAAGAGATCGGAGCTGAGCGATGAGGAGTTCTTGAAGTGGATGGCCTCAACGCAGGGAACGCCGTCTGAGCTTCTGCAGAACAAGGAGGCCATGCAGCTCTTCTTGCCACCTCTGAAAGCTGATCTGAAACTTGTGGAGAACTTTGTGTAAGTCTAAAGTCTGCTACAATCCTACAACAACCACAGGAGGATAATGGAAGGTCTTACCAAATGTTCATTAGTAGACTATGGGATATCGTGAATGCTTTATCTAATGTTGCAATAAACCTGAAAAGGCGTGTGTTAGGTCTTTCCCTGCAAAAAAGCAAAAGACTCACAGCTCCAATTCCACCAGACTGCATATCGATACAGCCATCGGGTGCAGGCTGCAGTGTGCTCCCACTTGTCAAACAATACGCGCCGCTGATTGGGGAGATGAGGTCTTTGCCTGCTTTTCAGAATGCCCAAGTGTTTTGAAATATGCTTACGTTCCTGTGTCAATGGGTCAGGAACCTGGCCCTGCTCCTTTACATCTCCTAAGCATCACCACTGGCCAGTGAGACTCCCCACCATAGTAAAAGGCCAGTCATGAGGCTTTGAAAATAGTAAGGGGCACGCCACTCTTCTTTCCCTTCAACCCAAGAACTAAATGTATTTCAAAGCACCTGGGCATTCCAACTCCTGGGGTGCTTTTACTGAGAAAACCCCTTGGAAAGGACTTTCCTGGCACCAAAATGGCAGCATACATGTGGTAGTGTGCTGCCATGGATTGGGGGTAGGCAAAATTCCAGGTAGGCATGGGGGTAGGCAAAATTCCAGGTAGGCATGATAAAATGTTCAATTTTCCTGGCACCACCATGGCAGCGTACTACCACTTGTATTCTGCCATGGATCGTTGCCAGGAAAGGAAAATACCAGGTAGCAGTGGCATCGCTACCAGGGGGGCAAGGGGGCAATTGCCCCCCCTAGGTTATCCCTTGCCCCCCCCCCCCCCAACAGTGGCGACAGTCCCAGCGCTAGCGCAATACAAGAGAAATGGAATCCCTGTCCCAGCAGATAATTGTGCTCGGGACGGTTATCACACAGTTATCTGCTGGGACAGGGGTTCTCCCCGCTGCAGCCTCACAGACTGTCAGCGGTTTCTCCCTACAGGCTGTAGGGAGAAACCTCTGACAGTCTGACCCCCCCCCGCAGTCTACTCACCTCTCTGCGGCATCTGAGCTTCTCTTCTGCTGACAGCCGCGCGATCGTCTTCACTCCAGCATAGCCAGCCTGCTATTGGCTCTTTTAAATTGCAGTAGCCAATAACAGGCTGGCTATTGCACCTGCCCACTGTCAGCTGTCAATCAACAGAGGTGGACCTCCTCTGCTGATTGACAGCAGGCAGTGGGTGGGTGCAGTAGCCAGCCTGTTTTTTGGCTATTGCAATTTGAAATATCCAATAGCAGGCTGGCTATTGCTCCCAGCAATGAAGTTAAAAAAAAATAAACTAGAATTAAAAAAAAGTTAGAAAAAAAGTTAAATTAATAAGTAAAAAATATGTAAAAAAATAAATAAAGTTAAATAAATAAAAAGTTAAAAAAAGTTAAATAAATAAAAAATACAAAAATGAAGTTAAATAAAAAGTAAAAATTAAAAAAAATACAAAAAAAGTTTAAAAAAATAAAAAGTTAAATAAACTAAAATAAAAAATCCCCCATAAAATTAAAGGCCACAGCCCCTGCAAACACACGCATTTAAAAAAAAACAAAAACATAAAATAAAAGATTTTTTTTTTAATACTCACCTGATCCCTGGATCCACCGACAAGTGCAGCCTTCAGTCTCCCATGCTGTCAGAAGCTGCATACAGCGTGTGCTGGTTACTACTTAAACCGGAGCACTGTGTGCAGCTTCTGAGAAGATACGCTATTAGCGTAGTGGGAGCGATGCAAAATGTGCAGCTTCCACGCTATGCTAATAGCGTATCTTCTCAGAAGCTGCATAGAGCCGCGCGCCGGTTTAAGTAGTAACCAGGACACGCTGTATGCAGCTTCTGTCGCAACCGCAGGGCGCAGATGCCACCCGCAATTAAATCAGCTCTCGGCGCCCAGCGGTTGCGACATGCAATGAAAATTTTTAGTGCCCCCCAGATCTGACAGTGGTATCTTATGTGCCCCCGCCCACACCAAAAAAAAACCCCCCCTACATATTGTTCCTAGAGTCGCCACTGCCAGGTAGGTATGATACAAAAAATTTCCCTGGCACCCCCATGGCAGCGTACTACCACTTGAAGATTGTAAGCTTTCACAAGCATGGTCCTTCTAATACTTTTGTATGGTATTGTATTGTACTGTCTTGTCTCCCCATATGTTGTAAAGCGCTGTGCAACCTGTGGCGTGATAAAATCCTGTATTTTTATAATAATAATAATTATAACAACAGTAATGTATTCTGCCACGGATTAGTGCCAGAATAGGAAAATTACTGGTGAATATAATAGAATTTTCAGTTTTTCTGGTATGGCTAGAGTTATATAATTTCCATAATTTAAAAAAAAAAAGACATTCTTACTGTTGCTGTAAGAGCGCTCCATTATTCTTTATCATCCAAGTAAATAATTATTTTTCCCTGCTTAGCTATGAGAAGCCATCTGCTCCTGTTCTGTCCTGTGGCCTGACATGTTTTGATGGAACCGAAGATGTTCCTCATGATTTAGCTGGTAAGCTACGAGTTATTCTTGTTAACATATCATAATCAAAGCACTTCAATGTTACCATTATACACTTGTGGTCATTCCTTCTGGCTGAACACAGTTTAAAGCAGAATTCTGGTTACGGGAGAGGTACAATAGCTGCCATGCCATCTGGCCTCCTCAGGCAACTAGCATTTTCAGAAGGACTAGTCAGCAGTTTCGGATGCCAGCATCCCTCGCTGTGTTCTGTGATTCCAACCACCAGCTGCTTTGTCACTTACCCGTGATGCGCAGTAAGCAGGCATAGGACACACCGGGAAGTGTGGGATGCTGAAAATTCGTTGGATGCCATTGCTCTGCATGGGAGCAAAGATTGGAATGTATAACGTGGACCGGAATTCTATATTATAATGATTCTTCTACAAAGAGTGATAGTCCTATTATTAAAATAAGTGTAAATCTGGAAAATATTTCTTTGTATCAAACATTATTTTTTTTCCATTAGACCGAAGTTCTTCTTTAAACATATTGAAAGCAGATCTGAAGCCGGTTGTAGACTTTGGGTTCCTTTACTGCTTCCCTTAAAAAAAAAATAGCAGTCAAAAGAGACCATCTGGATTTGCTGCAAATGCTTTGGCGTTGTCATCATTCAATTGTTTCTCAGCTCTAGTCTATCTTTCATGTCCCTCTTCCTAGAAACCCCTATGGCGTGTGTTCTTGGGGTCTTGGAAGACAACTGTATGGATCAGAATATATGAATGGCTATTATTAAGGCTTTGTTTCAAGCTTGTATGTATCGCTTGTACTAATGCGCTGTATAGATCCTCTTCTCCTACATCAGGCAATGGATTGACCAAATAAATAGAAAGCTGTTAATGGAGAAAAATATCTGTCTAAATAAGAGAACCTCCTCTAAGTTCGTGAACATTTTGGACTGGGGTTTGATACCCCAGGCCTAGCCACTTTTGAATTCAGGGCCGGCCTTTGGCCTTTAGGCGCCCTGTGCGAGAAAGCTTTACAGCGCCCCTCAGTGACCACACCCCTCCGTGGCCACACCCTTTAGTGGCCACACCCCCCAGTAACCACACCCATTTATCACCCATATTTTTGGTAAAATATAAAAAGCGGGGTCACGTCGGGTAAATAGACACCAAACATGTCATGCTTTAAAATTGCGCGCACCTGCAAAATTGTAAAAAATTACCATACCCCAAATTGACCATAGGTGACGCTTTAAAAGCTTTTACCGCTCATCAGTTTAGTGTTATCAGTGATTGATAGCCCTACAATTATTGCTCTCATTCCGACGTTCGCGGCGATATGTAACATGTGCGGCGTAATGGGCGAAATTGTCGTTTTCACACGTATGCGCACCCGATGCCTGTTTGCATGCGTGTATGTATGGGGGGGGACTTTAAAAAAAATGTAATTCTTTTTTATTTGTAACTTTACATTTTTGGGGGGGAAACTTTATTGCTATCACATAGGGGGGTTAGAAAACCCCCTTATGTGATAGCAAAATATGTGACAGGTCCTCTTTATGGAGACATCAGGGGTCTCCAAGACCCCTAATGTCACCTAGGACCCCCCTGAAGAAGCTGATGAAGCACAGATCTGCTTCATCAGCTTCTCTCCAGCATCTGAAGCTGGAGAGTGACACAAGAATGCGGAAGTGATGTATCCTGCGCCCGGGGGGCGGACGAGGGAGCGCTGTCATATCGGATGGCCAGCGCCCAGCGGTGAGGGGGAGAGAAGCCGCCCCCAGGACGAGCTGTGTCGGCCGCACGGCGCCCTTGTTGCCATGGCGCCCTGTGCGGCCGCACTGCTCGCACACCCCTAAGGCCGGCCCTGTTTGAATTGGTTAGAGATAGACTTTTGCTCTTGAGAGGCATTATACCTATTTTCTATTAGGCCTTAGACCTGGGGTAGGCAACCTTGGCACTCTAGCTGTGATGAAACTAAAATTCCTAGGGCTGTCAGTCCTGCAATGCCTCATGGGACTTGTAGTTACACAGCAGCTGGAGAGCCGAGATTGTCTACCTCTGTCTTAGGCCAATTCACTTCTTCCTCATCTGAAAGCCCATTTAAGTCAATCTTTCCTCATGTTACGTTATGGTCCCGCTGCTAGTATACCTTTACCATGGTTGGGTATCTTTGTATCTTTTCAACGGTATTGTACTTTGGTTGAACTTCATCCAACCGATGTTTGTAGCCGTGTATTGTTTGATAATTAATCCTAAAACCTGGATTGCTGGTTATAATGTGGGGGCTTATCCCTTTATACACATGCCAAAACATTATTGCACACCCTCTACATCTATGCAAAAAAAACCTGATCCTTCTGACACAAAAGAGACCCTCGACTCCCTCCTTGGATGCCTGGAAAAATCTGATTACCTCAAATCTACCCTTGTACAACATTCCTATTGCTATGAACTCCCTACTAAACCACAACTATTTGATGCAATATGGGGTCCCTGGGTTGCCTCTAACCATACGCTCTCCCCTCTGGTACAAAGTTCTATATAGTCCAATCTCATGCATAATATGTTCTGTCTTCTGATACAGTTCCTTCTTTTTTTTATTTCTCCATGGCAAGATTGTCTTACATACCTCTTCTCTTGATGTTACCGTAAGCCACTGTAAACTGAAGATCTGTAACTGAGAGCCGGCACCTGGTGTTATATGGGGTGCTTTTTCTCTTTGAGTTATCTATATATTTTATAACCAATAAAAAATATATCTTAAAAACATGACATTGGAGTATACTATGACCTGTCAATTAATAAAGACACAATGCGGGTCAAGTTCTTTGTTTGAAATTGTACTGTATTTTCTTATGTTCCTAACAACACTTATTTTTAAAAAGTGGTTGTCAGATTAGGTGCCACCAGCCTAAATACCCTGTTACCCCGAAAATAAGACCTACCCCGAAAATTAGACCTTTTGCTATTTTGGGGAATTGCTAAAATATAAGAGCTACACCGAAAATAAGACCTAGTTGTGACCATTCCCAGGGCCAGTGGTGGCCTAAGGGGGAACTTGAAGAGCCGCCGGAGAGGCAGGAGAGAATCAGCGGTGCCAACGTAGCCAGTGCTAGAGGAAGCGAGGCGGCAGCGGAGGGAGCAGAGCCGCATAAGCCGATGCCTCCTCTATAGCGCCGACTCCTATCACATGTGGAGTGATACCAAATGCACTGCGCCTGTGAGGAATTGGTAGCAAAAGCGCACTTCGCTCATTCTGGCCAGTGATTGGTTACCAAATTGCTCTTGAAAAGGTACGGCATCCCTGACTGCCATGATCACCATATTCTTAACTTTGCCACTCACTCCTGTCTTGTAAGTCTTCTACCGGTAATAAGTGTGGATTGTTGTACATTAAAAAAAAAATAAGACCTACCCCGAAAATAAGACCTAGTGCGTTTTTTTGAGCCAAAAAAAAGACTGTCTTATTTTCGGGGAAACACGGTATCTACCTCCTTTCAGTAAGGGGGGGGGCTCACCACAGTCCAAGCAGTAGCTGCCTTGCTGCCATTGTGCCTCTCAGCTGTAGTTATGGACGGGTTCTCGGTGATGCATATGCACTGATTGACTGCTTGGTCTCTTGACCATGGTTGAGAGGTGGAAGGGGCAAAGGGGCAGCTGATTAGACTGAGTGACCCAGCTCTAGGAGAAAGCTAAGTATTTCAGGCTGCTGGATTGCAAACTTGAGAAGCAGGCCATTTCTTACTAGCAGGTGCAGCACACAATGGTCAGTAATTTAATCTGGCACACTGACATGGCCTGATCTTCTTCATGCCTCCTGCTGGGAGGGGACTGTAAACCTCCAGTAACATGTACGCAAGTAAGGCCGACTTCTGTAGAGTCTAGTTCCGTTCTTGGGGCTGTAGAGAGGGAAATGCATTCATGGCATCACTGACCCAGGAGCAAAAGAGGCAGATTCTCCTGAAGTTAGCTTCAGTTGTATATAGGCAAGGATTAGAGCCCCCCTCCTTTGGGGAGAGGGGGACATGAAGAAGGATCTGGCTTTATCACAGTACTCTGGATGTGCCTTGAACTTTGTAGGTTTGTGACTAGTTCTCTTTATATGTATATCTGCGCCCCTTTTCACTTTTTTTTCTCTTGGCTTCCTCCACAGCCTGGAAAGATCTGACGAGCGGAGATTTCAGTATTCACATGCTGCCTGGTGGTCATTTTTACCTGAAGGACCCTACAAATGAGAAGTCTCTTGTACAATTCATTTCCAGATACATGGAAGCTGCCGAGATTGACTATTTCTAAACTACTTTTCTCCGGTTGCCTGAAGGTTCGCTTTCTCCAGTGCTGTTTTTTTCACCGATTAGGACACAGCCTATGTATATCAATTACCTGACTGCTATCTATAGTCTGGGTGACTAAGATAACTCTACAGGCCATCACATTTTTCTTCAGTTTATAAGTAAAAATAAGATAGGTGAATCCGATTGGATAATAGGGAAATAGTTAAGACCTTAATTTTATAACCTGTGATGTGCCAAAAATAACCACCAAAAGGTTTTGTATTCATCAACCTGTTGAAGAGCAATGTGTACAGCAAGTTTCTGAAAAAGCCTTCAGCAGCAGCTTTTATTGAAATAGAACCCATTATTTAACGTAAGTGGCAGCTCACAGTTGGACTGTTTTTTGAAAAAGGTCATCCTGGAGCTGTAAAGAATAATAGAAATAATAATTTTTAAAAAGCCATTATGGCTGCAATACTCACCTCCTCTCTGGCTGTCCACCACAGTAATAGCTTGCTGCCTCTAGGTGTTTTTTCTTCTGGGCTGAAGGACAGCCAGAATAATTTAAGCTGGAAGGCTGAGGACATCGTGGACCTACTGATGTCAGTGCTGAGGTCAGGGACTGCCAACCACCAGGAGAAGAACGGACAAAGACCCTGTCCATCAGGTGGCCAGACTGAAGACTTCTGGAAACTTAAAAGAAAAACCCCCACACACAACACATAGAAGGGTGCTGGGGTTCCTGAGGAAGGGGAGTAGGGACTAGGGTTTAAACAAGACAATAGCAGACTGTCAGAAAATGTGATGAGTACTGCAGTTTACTGAGTGCCCGCTAGTTTATAGTGACATCAGCTCCCATTATGGTCTGTGTTTAACATCACCAAAACGTGAATGAAGGTTTCTTTAAAGGCTTCAATAAACATGCTTAAAGCCTTGTTCACACCAAATACAGAGCAGATCTGCATGAGTTTCTGCACAACCAGTGCAGTGGGTTTTGCCGCGTTTTTGATGCGTTCCGGGACTTTTTTGGTTAAAAAAAATGGTTTTCGTTTAAAATGGGCTTTCAGTGCGTTTGCATGCATTTTTGATGCGTTCCAGAGCAGGTAAAATAGGGCCTGCTGCAGTTTTTTTACCTGCTCTGAAACGGAACGATGCGATGTGAACTGGAGCTAAAAATACAATTGGAATACATTGGACGCAGTTTTGCGCCGGTCTGTAACTGCTCTGCTCCTGGAACGCACTCGTTGTGAACATGGCCTACAGTGTGCCATAAGCTTTCCAAATGCTTTTGACGCTTGCTGTACAATTTTCTCTTCAACAAACTGACGCATCTGTATAGAAGGCTGCCGAGATGGAAATGGCAGAATCACATATGAATTGGGATATTATAATTATGTTTAGGATATTCCACAGATTTGTCGTTTTCTCTGCAAATATAAAATATATTTTTTAAATTCAGTTTCTAATTTTGTCGTTGTTAGAATGCCAATAAGCAAAAAGTATTCCTGTACTTAGAGCTGGTTAGAATTTTATTTTTAATCTTCCTAATAGAGCTACAACAATTAATTGACTAAGTCGATATAATAGATGGAAAACGTTGTAATCGATCAGTTAAATTTCGATTAGTTGACCTGCTTGCGGCTCCCTGCACGCTACTTGTCCTGCCCGCCACACGACTCCTCCTCGCATCATGGACTCGCTGCAGGCTTCGCCTCGCCGCTGCCTGCCCATCCACAATCCATTAAGGAAGAGCAGGCATGGGGGGAAGGCAGCTGCCAGACAGGCCCACAATCTGCTCAGGTAATCTCGATCTCTCAATTCGTATTCCTCTATAGCTGATGGTACATTGCTTTGTATAATATACAGCACAATATACCATCAGCTATAGAGGAATACAAATCCCAGCAATACATTCTACACTGTATGTATAATGTACTATTGCTGGGATTTATTGTATTCCTCTATAGCTGGTGGTATTCTGCATTGCCGCTGTATAATGTACTATATTGCACACCACACTTTTTTTTTTTACTTCAACCGCTCCAAGCTTGCTCCCGTGATGGACTACAATCTCAATTTAAACTAGTCCATCACTGGAGCCATTTTTTTTTTTTATCCGATTAATCTAACTTCTTGATCAGCTAACTAATAGATTTTGAAAATAATTGTTAGCTACAGCCCTACATCCTAATTAGCAGGAAAATAGGAACCGATATGGATCAGGGGCGGCAACCCTGTAGGGGGGGTGGAGATTTACCTGAACAATGTGCAAAAGATCAAAGCTTACCAGGGTGCAGTGCCCCCAGCAAGGTCCCATTAAAAAAGTAAGGAAGATTTGAAGAGTAGAGGTCAGTAGTATAGAACAGTGCAGGGATCCAGAGTAAGTAATGCAGAGTATAGTGTCAGTAGTATGTATTGAGTGCAGGGGTCAGGAGTAAGCAACCCAGAAGGTGGTAGTATGCAAGCCACAATGCACAGATCAGGAATACATATTGCAAAGTGCAGGGGTCAGGAGTAAGTAACTCAGTTCAGTAGTATGTAATGCATAGTGCACAAGGCCAGGAGTAAGTGAAGCAGAGTGCAAGGGTCTAAGACACAGCAGAGGCAGTGTTGTAACTTCATGTTTGAGATGACACTAAAAATATGCAATAGGTTTGTTTTATTCTGTCCAGACATACTTATACGTGTAGATCTAGAATAAAGGTTACAGATAACATGCAATTGCATGAATGTATTCACAAATTCCCAAGCCATTTATCAAAAGCAGATTATCAGTTTAGATTGTAGTATATTGCAGCAGATTACATACAGTATCACCCGGGGCTGCAGACAAGGAAACGTGGAAAACACACAGTGCTCTTTACCTTAGGCCTGTCCCTGGAGGATGGCTCACAGGGGAGTTGTAGGTTCTATTTATTGCTTGCTAATAAGGTATGGAAGAAAACTGCCGGGTTACTAGAGCGGACCTGTATCTGTGAATAAACAGCTCTGCTGTAATGGTAAGTCAATACAAAAACTTAATCTCCATCAGATTTTGTCCTACTGTAACAAAATTCATCACAATGTGCGCAATCAGCCAAAAGCAGACCTGCCTGAATTAAACGATGACCACTACTACTGCAGGGCACTCAAGTTTACATTTAAAACCCTAAAGTGCAGTTCCACATTTGCTTTATATACATTTGTGTTACATGTTCTCCTTCACACAGCATAACAAATGCTGCTTACTTAAACAAATCCTACCTAGCTTTCCACCCTCCTATGTAATGCTAGGAAGGGGGCTGGGGAATTAGGTTTACTATAATAAACCCTGTGTACTGTGCTGGCAGATCACTTCTAAAACTAGATATGTACACTGTCCTACCAACAGGTTAAAGATCTTGAGGATTGCATGGCACATTATATGCTAATGCACAAAGTCCCTCAGTCTGTCCCCTAATTGCACATTAGAAACTATTCTAAATAATTTCAGTGTCCTATGTATAACCCTGTTCCAAAACAACTGGAAGGGTAAAACATTTTTGGTGTCCTGGGTAAATAAGAACATTGGGGGTTTCCTCAATTGTGACTGCAAAGGTGGAAATACACTGAGTGAACCTCTGCTTTAGGCCAAGCAACAGATTCACTTTAATGACCTCCCTTCCCAGTAGCACAAACGTGCCTTTTCTTTCCAGATGCAGGCTACAGACCCAGATGAGATTGTAAGCCCTCATGGGCTGGGCCCTCCTTACCATGTTCTTGAATTGTAATTATAATGCCTTACCCATGTTGTAAAGCGCTGCGCAAAACTGTTGGCGCTATATAAATCCTGTATAATACAGACCCAAATGCAGGCTACAGGCAGGATTTCCTTTCCTAGGTATACTGTATCTGTAACATGGCTCATGGAAAGAGGTTTGTGGGAATGCCTTTTACCACTATTACAAAAGCTTTTTTGGGGTCAGACCCAAGTCCAAGTCTAATAATGTGACTAGACGAACATGGCTTAAGTAAAGATTACAAGTCACTATTGCTTAATTTTAATAACTCAAAAGCAGATAACTGCTGTTCAAAGAGCAAAGATCACAGATAGCACGAATATTCTTATCAGTGGGCATTGAAATGTATTAAAGAAACACTTTCCTTTATCCAACACTGCCAAAATGTGACCTATTCAGCTTATAAGACACCAGTTGTGCAATCAGTGACCACAAAGGGTTCATTTATAAAAGATTTGTTATGCGATTTGCACAGCCATTGGTTGCTGGCAATTCTTATGTATTGTAAGGACAATTCCATCATTCACAGAGGATTCTCCCATCACATTAAAAAGGCACGGTCCACTTTTTAAGACATTGTTTCATGTAACACCACTATTTAGGGGGACGCGCAACATCCTCACCTGCCTCCTCCCACTCACAATTGCAGATTTATACTGTAAAAATCTTTATGGTTTTTATGCAAATGAGAAATGATCAAGAAGCCTACATCTGCCACCATAGCAGAGGTACTCATACAGCACCGGCAGCATGGCGATGACCTCACCGCAGTTATAGTCCAGCCACACTTCCTACAGCCCCATAACAGCATATCTACTTCTCTACAGACCTCGGGCTGAGGGTAAACACTAACAGGGTTATTCACAAAAAAGGTGGGAGTTTGGAGAAGGGAACAATCTAGGCCAAAATAGTTGGATTTGGAAATATTCTCAAATTTATCTTCACTTTTCAGTTCAGCTATGTGGTTTCAGATTGTTCACTTCTCCAAACTCTTCACCCTTTTGTGAATAACCCTGTAAAAGTTTGTACACTGCAACTGATGCAGTGCTCTGCAGGCTTCTATGAAAATGGTAACTGTATATTGATGCATTTACTACTTTTGCAAAAAGGCAGGCTGAGCTTCAAACAAGATTCACCCATCAGCAGACCCAGACAACATGATTGAGAGGTTCCAACACACAAAATTGTCCCATCAGCCACCACATTACACAGGTTGAATCCCTTTTGAAAATGGGTGAATCCCGATTAAAAATCACTACTATCTTTTATGCAACTGCTGATGGGGTGATAGGACTTTCAAAATGGGGAATAGGGCAAATCTTTTTGAAAGTGAAGGGCCAATTCTGTAAAAGATGAAGGTCCTTCGCACTCCCTGAAATGCTTCGCAAACACTTACTATGCCTACCGATACGAGTAAATATGTACTCAGTGCCCAAGTATCTCAATCTCTGCTCTGGAGTTGTAAACCCAATATGTATGTTACATGACATCTGTGTGACAATTATTTCTGAGTTTTGTTAGCCCAGTGTATGGATTTTATTGTTTGTTTTTCTATTTATTCTTGTTCTGTATAAGTGTATAACCTCTGAATATACCAATAAAAAGCATCTAAAGATACAGAAAAGGTAAATATCCAGCAAACATTTACTGTGGGAATCATACTGGCAACCAGTTCTAAAAAGATCCCAGCAGTTTAGGGGAAATTAAATGCTGCTGAAAAAGTAGATGACACAACCACTCTGGGACCTGCAAGAAAGTCAATGTTGGACCCCCTGGCAGTCATCTTAGGCAACAGGTGACATTACTTTGGTTATAAGCTCCTGACCTACATAAATGCCAATACACAATACTGTATCACCTATGCTACTGACCCTATGCAGCTTATTTTCCTTGTATCTTTATTTTCCATTTCTTTTGCAACTTGTTCACTTTGTCATACTAATGAAAATTTAACAAGAAAAAAACAAGACCACCATCTTTCTTTTGTAAAAGTTTTAATAGGTCAGTGCAGAAAAGTACAGACAAAGGGTATTTTTCCTGTGACTGGACAGTCCTATGTTAATTATACCTGAAACATCACGTGAGGCAAGAGCTGGTATGTAGTGTTAGAGTTCTTTTCATCTGTCCTGACAGTTCAGGAACTGCTGTTTGAAGGTGCTAACATTATGCAACCTTTTTAGTGGCTGTACTTTTCAATCAACTCATGAGCTTTAGACACATAGGCGCTCATCGCATCTTCCTTAGATAAGCCTGAAAAACAGAAGGCATTGAGAGGTCTACATGGGAAGCAGCTTTTATTCAAGAACAAAAATGAATATACACCAAATGCACATTGGAATAGAGGAGATATTACCTGGTAACGAATCACAAAATTAACAATTTGAACCATTTTTTTTTTTTTGTGGTCATGTTACTGTACAGCCTTTGTGCTCCCTCTTCTGCATGGAGGGGGGAGGGATGTCAGATTTGTAAATAGACCGGTCCTATGACATCACACATCCTTCCCAGTGTGTACACCCGATTACCAAAAGGGCGTATTGACAGCAAAGTGCCTGCTGGGAGCCACTATCAATCACAACAAGGCTGGACGGGGCAGCGTGGCAGATGGGTATAGGCATGAAATGCATCTTCATAGACCAAGCACAGGAGGTGAAAACTAGCCACTCCAGCACAGATCTGCATGCTTGGCATGGTCAGAATGAGGATGGGAAAAGGGGAACTGGTGGTATACGCATTTCAGATCTATTGAGGCACTAAAATTAAAGCAGGCTGGGTATACAAATAAAGTAAAAAACACACTTTAAGTGGCACGTAGCCTGGTTTAAGACTATCCCTGCCTATGGGGGTTGAGCACCCTTTGCTTCCTTTCAGGGTGACCACACATGAGGGTAATCTACCCAACAAGGAGGCAATTAAAACTCAAAGGTTAGAACCTTTTCTCCATTCTGCTATAAAAAGTGCTTTTATAATTGCGGTCTATATGAGACTTCTGCTTACAATCTGTTTCAGTAACCACACACAAAGTCTCCCCAATGGTAACCCACATGGTAATAAAAGCCTAGTAAAGGTTCTAATGTTTTAGCTCCAGTCAAAACAGGAGCTTGGCCACGTTCCACTATAAATTATGCAACTTAGCATGCCAGTACTTCAGGTTTTTGCAAGGTATGACTTTCCTAAAACTAAACCTTAGGTATTTAACGATCTGTCACCATGAAGAATTCCAGAGAAGCAAACAAAATGTAGTCACCTGACAGGTGGCATCACTGCTCTCCAAGAATGAGTGCCCCATTTGAATGCAGAGACATGCAAATGCAAAATGTTTAAAAGGAGAACTATGAGGCGAGTGCTTTTCACTCACCTCATAGTTCTAGCCGACCTGTGACAATGAGACTGTAACAGGTCGGCTCAGTAGATCGGGAAGTGAGCGAACACATACCGGTGTTCGCTCTACTCCCCATCCTGTCACAGCTCTCTGCCATGACATGGGAGGGGCTTGATTCCCCCCTCCGCCAGCACTGACTGGCGGAACGGGGGAGGGGGTGTGTACAGCTGGCTCTGCCTCTAGATCGGCAGAGCCAGCTGTCACTCACGCGGCTGGGCGGATCCAGACATAATTGTCGGGATCCGCTTCAGCGTCTCAGTATACCGCGAGTAGTAGCTCGCGGTATACTGTGGTGTCCAGTATACCGCGAGCTGTAGCTCGCAGTATACCGAGCTTAGGGTTACGGGAGGACACTAGTTTGTGTCCTCCCGTTACCCTAAGGGGAAAAGCCTTAACCCCATAGTTCTCCTTTAAGTCCTGCCTCTGCAGTAATAGCAGGCCCACCCTGGATGAACTTCAACAGAAATCTGCATCAGTAACTCCCCATAGCTTCACTTGCATAAGGAGAATACAAAGAACGATGACCCAACATCAGCGGTGTATTTACCTTTGCTGCTGCCCTAGGCAAGGCAGCAACGCCGCCCTCAGCGAATCTGCCGCTCCAGGCAAACGCCTTGTTTGCCTCGTGGCAGATACGCCCCTGCCCAACATGATGATGCAACAGATGTTGAGGCCAGGAAGGCAAGTATGAGTATTACCAAAGCAGCTGTAGAGTTACTGGGTATTTAAGAGTGACAAACTCACTCAATGATGTGCAATGGAGTACAATTGTGCAAGGCTGAAAGCAAGGCTGGAGTTAAACTTTAAAGAGAATAGAGAACTTCATTTTAAAGTACCATTATGTTAGTACGCAGTTCTGGCTGCTGAATGTATACGTGATCATAGAATGATGTTGTTACTATGCAATGGAGTGGATGAATCAAGTGGAGAGTCTTACCTTTTTTTAGGTTCCATGAATCCCACTTGGCCTTGGCCTTCAGGTCTAGAATGCCGGGACACGCTGCAAAAAATAAACAGAAGATTTTATCTATAGTACACTATGGTGGAGAATAGACTTGCTGCAAATTTTTAGTTGACCCGTGACTGCTACAAAGTACAGTTGGCCTTAAAGGGTCTGTTGAATGATAAATATAAAAAGTATAAATACAATATACAAAAGTGCAAATACAAGGGATGCACCGATAACGATACTAGTATTGGTGCCAATACAGAGTATTTGGGCGAGTAGTTGTACTTGCCCAAATGCTCCTATACCTGAAATTTTCGGTCAGTGTCAGATTACCTTTGACCGGCAGTGCCACGAGGAACATGGAGCCGGCTTTCTGGTCAAAGTGGGGCAGCAGGTAATGACTCACCGCCAGGCTTTCGGTTTGACCAGCTCCATGCTGATTGGCTGGGAAGCCAGCTTCACAGCCAAATCAGCATGGAGCTGGCTAAACAGCACAGAGCGGGCTTCCTGGGCAATCAAGAAGCAGGGCGGCGGTTAAGGACACGCCGCCTGGCTTCCCAATTGGATGAGAAGCCGGCTCCATGCCAGCGGAAGTGATGGCGAGTGCTGAAAGATAAATATCAGTACTTGATACTCAAAAACTGGTATTAGTGCAGCCCTAGTAATTAACATGTTCAAATAATAGCACACTGAGCACATGGGTCCCCCCCCAAAAAAGGGGGGGCCACACACTGGTTGAATTAACCAGTCAGTCAACAGGCCTTGGCCAAAATTTGACTAGTGTATGGTCAGCCCAAAAGGAGTTCTAAAGTCCCAGGATATACTATAGTGTTATAACATCAGCATTGTAACAGGAATACATACTAGAGTTGGTTTCCAATAATGCAATCAAAGCTTACTTGAAAAAAAATTATATATATATAATGTAGTGAGTGCTGCCTTCTGTCTGCCCATCATTTTCATCAACTTCCCGGATTCCCAGTGTGCTTTGCCTCCATTTACCTGCTGCTTGATGTGATGCAGTCTCGATTTCTCAAGGCTACATAGCCCATAATGCATTGCTTCCAGCAAGCAATGATGTTACATTGTCCAGATGTTGGGCTGAAGTGCAAAAGACAGGCCCAGAATTGTGACACAAGGAAGTCCCTATGCACAGGGTTGAGTGAATTTGTGTCAGTACATCCTATGGGCATCTTCAAGGTTACACACTTCTAGATGGATAGGGTTATTAGGAGTGGGATAGAATGTATGGAAATTCACTAAAACAGGTTTATTTTTAGTTTTTGGCCTTTAAGATACCTTTAAGTTGCAGCGGTATATTTTAAACAGAAGTGCAGACAATCCATACATACTAAATACAACCCCTACCTATATTGATATCTCCAACAGTAGACTGCTTGTAGAGGCTGTACAGTTCCTTCAGCTCATCATCGGTTGGCCTTTTTGTCAGTTTCTTGACATCCTCTGCCGCTTTGTCGAAGTCTGCCTGTGATCAAATCAGTAGGGACAAGAGCAGAGTGGAAAGAATATAAATTAACAATCTGGCCCTTTATAATCTGCTGCCTGAAGAAAATCTAATTCCATTATAGCAGAAAATCTAATTCCATTATATAACCCAATCACTAAAAACTCATAAGCATTAAAACAATTAAACATGTTGATCTTATTTCACTTTGAAAATCCGGTTTTAAAGGCTTTAGCTAAAAATAAAATAGGAAATTAACTCCGGTTACAACAAAAATCGTAACTTTGAAATATCTTCATGTTAGTTTTCAAAGTCTCCCCAGCAGGAAGACATTGGCATGGGCCTGTTGGCTGCAGCCGCCTGCCGTTGTGTCAGTGGTCTCTGTGCAATGGGCCAACATGCCCCCTTGTCACAGCACTGCAACCTACATGGAGTCAGAGGGGATGAAGGAATTAAAATAAGCGGGTTATTTTAATAGGGGGGGGGCCAACTTTTTTCATCCTATAAAACTTCCAGAAGTCGAATGCCCACACTCGCTGCATATGGCCGTGATGTAGGGGCTGGCGAGCCAAAGTCATCAACACCCATACATGCCAGATGTAAACCAAATACTTCTAGGAGATGCAGCTGAGTTCACTGCTGCCTTGCCTGAAAGCTGAGGACTTGAAATTCCCATAAGAATGCACTCCAACCCATTGCAGGGCCCCCAGCTTTCCTGGGAGGCAGCGATGATGCATGGTGAAGTTACCAGCACCTCCCTGGAGCCAGGAACAATGCGTTGTTTTCTTCTAAGCGTTACTTCTCTATTTTTATTTACAGTTTGTGATTTCAGTATGGGGACCCAAGGGCCCAATATTGATGTAGTCATGAATACAGAGCTGTCCCAATTTGTGTACATTATATTTGCCTGGAGCTGAAGGTCATCTCAAAAACACAATCAGAGCAAGATCATCTACAAGGCAATCTAGGCAGGAGGGCCCCGCCCTTGGATGTCTGCTTTACTCATCCCAGGAGTCAGCTTGTGAAATGTTGCGCATGCACAGACACCACAGGTCTCTTCCAGGTCACTGGCAAAGACCCGCACATAGACCTGGCAGCTTCCCATCCCTTACAGCCAAGGAAGGTGCCATCTAAGCCCCCATTTGGACTGCAATTGCCATGGTGTGCTATGAGCTATGACACCAACCATTTGAGGGCTTAAATGTTTGGTTGGGAGCCAAGATTCCCACACTGGCAACCTCAACTGTTGGCATGCCTTAAAAGTAACAGTTTTGGTAAAGTTCACCTAACAAGGCTCATGCGCAGTTGGTATCTGATGGAGCCATGGACGTACAGACAAAGCTAGTGGGTTTGGCAGTTCTATATATGAACATCAAAAACTTGGGAGCCAAAGCTACATTCTTACTTGGGCCCCATTCTGCCTAAGATAAAGCTTTACATTAATGCAATGTATAGTGAATGGGCCCCAAGTCTCCACACTACAGAGTGTTTGTGTGCATAGGTTGCACACACCAGTGTAACCTATCTATGAGGCCCCCCCATTACTAGACACTTTTTTATGGTAAAGGAGGAGCTTTCAGTAACTTGAACTTTTATATGTAAACAGGCATTTTTGGTCTACACATCTGTTGGAAAAGTTACATCGCTTTTAAAGACTCCAGACTGAGGAAAAATTATAATGGATGTGGAGTGCCCTTTTCATGGCCAACTCTGCCTGCATCTTAAACCAACAAGCTAGAGGTTTTTTTAGCCAAAAGTTTGCTCAAACTTCAGTACAGAGTACTCTGGCCCTTTAAATACATTTCAGAAGGATTTTAGCACAAGTGCCCAGAATGTGAACTTGTCCTTTAACGTTGGAACAATGGTAGGATTGTACAATCTACTGCCAGTTCTCACCCAGCCTTCTTATACCCCGCACAATACTGTTACAGATTGGTCCGTCACTGGAGCTGGCGGAAACAGAATACGTTAATGAACCCATTCATTATAGCAGAACACAAGTGGAGGCACCCCACGTCTTAATTGTATCGGTTATTGGCCAGTGATAGCGCGTTCAAGTGATAGCGCGTTCAAGTGATAAAGGTGACAAAAAAAAGCCTCCAAGTGGAAAGCGGAGTATCCAATAACGACGACCAGGCTACTTCAATGTACCAGTGTAAACAGCAAGGAGAGTGAAAGAGTGCAGCAACTACAGCAAAACCAGGTTTAGTACCATCAGATCAAGACTCACTTGGGCTGACAAACCCAAAAGTACAGCTTTTTAGATTTACAAAAAGCATTTTCTGTAGTAAAAAAAAAAACAAAAAAAAAAAACGATGAAGAATTCCGGGCAGATACAGTAAAAGAAAAAATAAATAGTTCTCATTTGGCCACAAAGGCTAAATGAGAAAAGAAAAAAAGTTGTCACCACAAGCGCCACCATTGGAGGATTTCACCTTATCTCTCTTTTCTGGTGACAAAAAAGTTTAATTTAAATATATAATAAAAATACAAATAAATAAAACACCCACTCAGCATTAATGCCCATTCACACTATGTGAAGACAACATGGTTGCATACATGAAGTCTTGTGGCCACAGGAATACCATGCAGGCAATTATAGGACATTTACACACGCATGGAATGATTTGAAAGCGACTAAACGCACACTCTGCTTTTTCTTGCATTCAGTTTAATTGCATTTACACAATATAAATCTTTGCCTCCGGGGTAGGTTAGATACTCTAAATGCAAATAAAGAGTTTGTCATTAAAGGTCTGTATGCAACACAGAAATACGTGTAAACGTGTACATTTTGCATAAAGAACACAACAGAGACACTATACAGTAGTTCATGTGAATGAGGCTGGTATCAGCGGGCAGTACAGATTAATGCACAACTTGATGCGCCTGTAGCATTTTCCGCAAGCAAATGCACCACAACACATGCACTGTGTGATGAGGTGCGCTAGAATGCAGATGGCAGCCTATTTGGGCATTATGGTTATTGTAAATGAATAGCAAAGCCCATCATAGCGTGGATTGATGCGTGTTGCAGCAACCTGGATTTTACTGTGCTGTGCCACAACTCAGTGTGATTGATCCCTAAGGGCTTGTTCACACCAAGTGCGGAGCAGATCCAGAACAGTTACAGGAGGCATCAAAAATGCATCCAATGTATGCCAGTGGTATTTTGGGCTCTAGTTCACACCAGAGCTGCAGCATGCCCTATTTTTTCTGCTCTGGAACGCACCAAATTGCATGCAAACGCATAAAAAAGGCATGCAAACACCCTGGAATGCACTGAGAGCCCATTTTAGGCAAAAAATATTTTTTTTTCTTTTTTTTAACGGCCCAAAACGCAGCAAAAGACACTGCAGAAACTCATGCAGATCTGGTCCGGATTTGGTGTGAACAAGCCCTAGATTACACCTGCAAACAATTCATTTTTGACAACTTTATTATTTCACCATCCCAACAGAACTTACTTTTGTTCTTGAATTGGGAACCTAACTGTCCCCTGGATTCA